CTTCACTTGGAATATCTAATTGGCGCCACGTAGCGAAAAGAAGAAACGACTGGCGCGCTGTTGTTAACTCGGCTATAATCGCGTAAGCGGTGTCTCGCCAATCAAGAAGAAGAATATTCAATTTTTTAAACTTATCGCAAGATTTGAGATTATGCCCTCCTGTGCATAGTTCGTATGACGTATGTTTGGTTTGTTCGGAAGTGAACGATTGTGTTTTGAAAAAACTAMGATTTAAGTTGTTGTTTTTATTAGCTTGGGGTCGAATGAAGCTGCGATTTAGGTCATGTTGAACGTTTTTAGTTCTGACCATTTTTTTATCTACCCTTTCCGCGATTGGGTAGTTAGGAAATCTTTCATCTGTTGCCACGTCGGGCACTTTCTTCACGAAGAGAGCGATTGCTCCCACAAAGGCAACGATTTTTCCGGTAATGCCGCGGAGCATATGTTTACCAGTATGGGATCCCAATTGTCAGTGGGATTATTTTGTTTCGTTAGAACCGACAAACAAGTCGAAACAGGCGAATAAAGTTTTATGAATTCTTCGCTTGTTTCTCTCTGAATTTTTGGCAAATTCATTAATATGGTCACTTGTTTGTCGACCAGTATTCTTTAATTCTCGTATCGTTCTTTTAAAGCTTCCCAAGCCAAATTGAAATTGTTGTCACTAAGAGCGAACTGTTTTATTATGACGCCTGCTTGACCTTTTGTTTTGTATCGGAGGTGATACAATTTTTGTGCATTAGATAATTTTGGGTGGTTTATGTAAACGGCGGTGAACATGTCCCGGAAGGACGGCCATTGTTCATAACCCCCATGAAAAATTTCTGTGTCACATGCGGGCACTTTGAGGTKAACACCTGAACTTGCCTCTTGGGCCTGTGTTTGTGGTAGCTCTTCTCTCAGTTGAGGATTTGGTGCGATTGACCTTGTTAATTTTTATTGATCAGAGATCATGGCTTTTGTCTCTTCATATTGGTCAGGACAATTTTCATATTTGGAGTAAGCCGAGGTTTTGAAATTTTCCGAAAGATCCGAATCGTCCGTTTCTACAATGGCGTCATAGGCCGCTTGGAGACGTGTCCAAAAATTTTCAAGGTTTTGATTCTTTATTTCTAGTACCGATTCAGAGTTATCTAGAATCGGCGAAGATGAAAATCGAGTGCAGTATCGTATTAAGCTGTCACTCTCTGATAAAAATTTAGCGTACGAAATATCTTTATCCCGTTTTTGTTTTGTAGCACCTTGCTTCGAGCTTGTAGCTTCTGCCGGTCTACATGGACTTTTTTCATCCAAAACCATTTTTGGTACTTTCAGAGATTGATAAGATTTAGATTCCTTTGAATCTGTGTTCATTTAGTTAAAAAATAGAAATATATGTATATATATTAAATTTTTTTTATTTTTTTATTTCGATTTACAACAAACGGATAAATTTTGAGAACCGTAAAACTCTTTCACGTCGATAAGAGCTTTAATTTCAGTTAAAACCAATAAAATACTCGTTTTTCAGCTTTAGCGTTCGCRCGGTTGTWTATAGGTTGTATTCACCTTTATATAATATGTATATGCGGACTTATCGGAATGTSCCTGTTTGTGCACTCGTTCAAGAAGTCAATATATTTTGTAACTACATATGTATGCACGATATGTGCTCAATTATGTAYATGTAAAATGCGTAAAATGTTGGTCCGATATGGACTTTGAATACATGTACTATGTGTGTATGTATAGATTTGTACGTATGTAAATATTTATCTATTTATTTATGTATATATATATATGTATAGATATGTATAGATTTCTAAAATTGTGAGTATAGATAATTATGGTTTTCACAAGTCTCCTAAAGTTACAAGTTATAATGATTCGAAAACATATCATTGAGAATCGTAAATGTGTAAATTCATTTTGGTATGAAATCCACTAACATTTTTTTTTTTTTTTTTAAACAAGTTTAAAACTGTATAAATTTATGATTTTTCGATGCTTTATGACGGCTTGTGAGCACCCCTAATTTATGTTATTATAAATATTTAGTTATTTATATATGTATGTACCTTATATAAATTTTAATTCCGCATATGTATTTTGAAGAACGCAAAAACCCGAAGTATATGCCAAAATGATAATGATGAAATGGTGTTGTTCTCGATTATTTTTATGGCCGGTATAAATTTGTAATATAAGTTGATGGATATCAAATATATCTATGTATGTATGTTTGAGTTTTTGGATATTTAGACGTTTWTATGCTTTAATCTGCCCGCAATCCTGCTTATTGCTTTAGTAAGCAAGAGAGGAAACTGAAGTTGAGGTAGGTATAAACTTTTTTATTTTGCGAAGAAGAGCTTAGCTAGTTTTATATATATTTTTTWCACAACCGTCTTGTAAGTCTTCAAACCATTGCCAATATGGGCTTCAAACATACATACATGTTCATATACATATACTGTGATAATATACTACTAGGAATMGATACGACTCACTTGTATTGCAGTTCTGGGGGGCATAGGGGTCTCCATACAGGTTTTGCTCTCCTCCTCTTGTCTCCTCAGATTGCGTCTGGTGTAGTTGCTGTTGAGTTTTGTTTTATTATTGTTTTAAAATTTTTTCTCCGCGCCCGTTTATATTGAGTTATTTTCCATTATATTTTAGTTTCGCGCCCGTTTCACTTTTCCTTTATTAGTAAAATTTATATTTTTTGTTTGTCGTTTTATTGTGTCGCTGCACTTTTTTTTCCAATTTGTAAATGTAAATGTAAATGTAAAAATGTATGTATTAATGTATATAGTGCTTTGTTTTACCGCACTTTATAAATTTGTTTTCCGTTATTTTAGAGGTATTTATATACATATATATTTGCTTTTGTTTTTTGAATACCGCACACCGCTAAGAATTAACACCGTTCACTTTTAACCGTTTTAGTTTTTTGCCACAGTGCCTTTCTTTTAGGCTCGAAGGACCATATTGAATTGAATACAATATTTCTTTGAGCATATGCTCTTAAATAAGAAATGAATTTTATTTG